ACTTATTGGCGACTGGCCACATGAAGCAAGCAGTGAAACTACAACACATGAATCTTTATAAATTGAGAGCAGAGTCCTCAGCACCCAGCGCAATTATGGCGGGATCATCATCACTCTCTGCGCGTACACAGACACACAGAGAGACACACATGCCAGAAGCAGCAACAGTGGTGCATACACCAACGCAGGGTTGCTGCTGCCATCAGTATTGCTGGCGAGAGCAGGCGTAGCATCAGCCCCAGGAACGGTAGTGGCCTCTGTTGCTTAGGGACGTGAGCCATCCTTCTTCCCAGGAACCACTGCGGCACCGCCCTCAGATTGTGGCGGAAGACTGTGCTCATCCCTCACCACTGAACCCTGTTCCCGCTGATCCTCTTTAATCTCTTCTTTAAATTTTTTAATCTCAGGCGCGTCCAACTTCCCCTCTCGTCCCTGTAGTTGTTTCAACTCCTGCAGTGTTTCCTTCAGCACAGCCTCACCTCTTGACCCCGCAGACACACTTTTATCAACGGCAGTTGCAGCTTTTCACAATTTACCCTCAACGGAGGCCAATGTGACATCGGCACTCTCTGTTGTGTCGGAACCAAAACGTTTCACACCTCCGAATACTTATAATAACTCGTTACTTTTTCCATGCGCTGCATTTGCCTTTTTCTGACGCATCCTCCAGCGTTTCACTCCGTTTAGCCGCATTTTACTGTTTATTCAGCTTATCAGATACTTTAGCAATATCCTGCGCTGCTGTATTTATCCCGTTCACTGACTGCTCCACCTCCAGCGATGCTTTGTATGCCCGCTGCACTTGCTAGAGACACTTATACGCCACATCCTTTGCCGCCGTCACTGTTGCCTTTGCAGCCCGCACTGCATCCTTGACGTGCTGATCCGCATCTGTTGCATTCGCCTCCGCCCAACCAAACAGTTGCAGCGCCTCTTCTGCTTTCAACACTGCGTCCTTGGCCTTTAATTTTGCTTTTAAGGCGATCTGTAACAGCTTAGTGGTTTCTTCTTTTGCCCCCTTTACCTCTTGTACCTTTACCTTTAGCTTAGTTATTGTGTCATTCCCATCTGTAGACCACATTCTCGAAGACGGCGGATTGGGCTTCACCAGTGCGCTGACAGCACTTCCAAACATTGCAGCTGTCTGCAGAGTTTTGTCGCCACCCTGTTTGCGGCATCAGCATTCACATTGGCCTCCTCCACTGCCTGCCTGGCCTTCATTGCTGCCTCTTTCGCCATCTGCAGTGCAGCCTGAGCACCTCTGGCGGCCAACTCACCTCTCTTCGCTCTCCCCAGCACACCCTCCTTCTCCTTCACGTCCGCCTCCTCCTCGGCCATCCTCGCCTCAATACCCTCAGCAGCGGCGGCTGGCAGGGAATCGACAACACCGCCCTCGGTAGCAGCAGCCGTCACGCAATAGGACGCCCAGCACAACACGAGGGCAAACACGCACAGAGGGTGGTGTACCATCATCCTCATCATAATCGGTGAGACTGCAGTAGAAACGAATCTTCTCGACAAGAACAGAGAAGCACAGTATAACAGTGCACACACCGCAGACACAGCAGCAGCAAGACTCCTCGACGATCTTCCACTCTCAGATATTCACAACAAACCCCCAAACCCCAAATAAAAAATTAAAACAATTCTCACCGCGGAGTAGCACCCCACCACAAAGCCCAAGTGGTGTCAGTGCTCTCTCCCGTCACTGCGATGGCGCAGCGGAGAGACAACAGTAAACAAAAACAACGGGGTGAATTCACCATACGAGCCGTCCCCGCAGCAGCGGAAACTTCTTCACAGGCATCTCCTTAATTCTGCTGCGGGAGCAAATGCATTTTCCCCACAACACACCCCACATACACAAGCACACATACTTGAGGACACGGAACAGGCGGTGGTGCGGGGTCGTGCACTTACTGTGGAGCAGCGCGCGTCCGCCAGCCCAATGGCGCCGCACTGCACACTCCGCCACAGCACAACTCCACCGCTGTGCTCCACAGAACACCGCAACAGTTAACAAAGCAACGCTTAAGCAGCGCGTGGCACACAACCCCGTAGAAAAAAGGAAATGAAGCCCAGAAACAAGGAGGGGGAAGATGTACGCCCAACAACGGGCAGCCGCCACGCATTCCTCCCAGAGCCAGGGCGCTATACACAGACAGTGGGGAGAGCAGCAACACACACACACAAAAAGATGAAAAGAAAATCCCCCAGCAAAAGAAACAGTTAGTGGGCGGCGCACAGAAGGGCGCAAAGCAAAGCCCAAGAAAAGAAAAGAAATCAGGCTCCCCTTCCCACAGTGCGTGTCGTCGAGGGCAAGTGGGTCGGCGTTACGCCCACAACGGGGCAGCAATGAAACGAAAACAAAAGAATCTTAACAATCAGGAGTGCAGTCCTCAGCACTCAACGCAATTACGGTGGGAGCATCATCGTCCCACGAACACACAGAGACACACACACAGAAGTCTTACCATACGGCCACACAGGCCAGCAGCAGTAGCATCAGTGGGTCACGCACCCACGTGGGGATCTCACTGCCATCAATACCTGCAACCAGCTGAGCAGCAGCCGTAGTGTCTGCAGTGATGTCCTTGCCCACAGACTCGGAAACTCTGGTCACCGCATCGCCCGCAGAGGTCTCACTCTCCAATGCTTCAGAAACTTTCGTGGCCGCAGCTTGTATCGTTGGAGTAGATGATTTGGCAAGACCGTCAGAATTAGAAGAACTGTCGTTCACTTTCTCCACACCAGTGCCGATATCACTCTTCACATTCGCTGGGATTTCAGCTGCCTTCTCTGGCTGCGTAGATAATGATTTAACGGCATCCTCAACAGGAGCAATATGCTCACGAGCCTTTGTCAGAGTAGCGGCGAGTTGTTTGTCATCGATTTTCTCTATGACCTCAGTCAACTTCGTCTCCACTTCCGGTAGCGCAACTTCCGAACCCTTCAGAAACTTTAGAGCCGCCTCCTTCGCCGTACCGATCGCGTCAAATGCACCAGCCAGCGTCTTGATGCCTTTATCATTCAGTTTCACAGTCTTCATAACGTTGAGCAGTTTGCGAGTGCGGTTCAGCAGAAGTGCAGCGGACACAGTGACGTCCACGCTGTCCTTGAGGGCATCATACACGAGGGTTGAGGCCATGGCGGACTCAGTTCGCAACGCATCGAGTTCTTTGTTGTCTTCCTCTGTGGGTTCAGCCGGTTCTTTTTTGGCAAATGCCGAGGCCTTCTGCGTTACGTTGGCTGCTGCGTCCAGAGCAAGAGAGGTGATCTCCACCAGCTTTGCGATCTTTTTCGCCTCATCCTGACATTCAACCGCCACAGCGCCCGAATCCGTCAGATTCTTAACAACGTCGGCCACCGCGACAAAAGCAGCGCCCCCCTTCCCAGTGTCTTTCTTCAGAGCATCCATGAACACTTGCGCCGCGGCCTTTGCGTTTTCAACTGCTTTCTCCGCCTTATCCCCCAGCGCACTGAAGCTTGAATTTGCTTCCGCAGCCTTGAGCGCTGCCTTACCAATCTCGACCTTTGCCTCCCTGACGCTCGCCACTGTTGGAGGATTCTTGGCTTCCACCGGTGCCTTAATCTTCGATCCTTCACCCGGCGGCAGAGACGCGCTCAGGTCCGTCAGCGCGGTGAACGACGTTTCCAGCGACGGCAAAACCACCTTCACCACAGCAGCCTCCAATACGTCGTGGACCACGCGGAGAACTTTTTCCGCCTCCCCCGCCATGGCCTGCAGCACCTTCTTCGCAGCAAGTTCATCCGGCGATTCAGGTGGCTCGCTCACCAAAGGAGTTTCTTGGGAGCGTGGTTCCACCTGCAGAGACTCTGTCGTCAAAAGAGTGCCAGTACCTGTCGGCTGCGCAGAGAGTGCCGCAGAAGCCGTCACGCACAAGGCCGTGCAGCACAGAGCAGCGGCCAACACACACACAACGCGGCGCACTGTCGCCATCATTCAATATCGCTTGAGCAGCTGNAGCCTCCAATACGTCGTGGACCACGCGGAGAACTTTTTCCGCCTCCCCCGCCATGGCCTGCAGCACCTTCTTCGCAGCAAGTTCATCCGCCGATTCAGTTGGCTCGCCCTCCAAAACAATTTTTTGGGAGGGAGGTTGATCCTGCGAAGGCTGCGTGGACACAACAGGGTGAGTAGATGCCGGGTGTGCAGAGGGAGCAGCAGATGCCTCGCCACCTGTGGGGAGCCCAGAGGAAGTATCAGCAGCAGCCACACACAAGGCCGTGCAGCACAGAGCAGCGGCCAACACACACACAACGCAGCGCACTGTCGCCATGAACCAATGTCGCTTGGCAGCGGGGGTCTGCAGGGAGGAGAAAAGAGAAACGCTGCACAGCAGACAGCCCCAACACACACACACACAGATGAAAAGAGAATCTCCAGCAGGAGAAACAGTTAGTGGGCGGCGCACAGCAGCGCTCAAAGCAAAACCCAAGCAAAGAAAGAAAAGAAAAGAAATCACGCCTCTCCTTCCCACAGTGCGTGTCGTCGAGGGCAAGTGGGTCGGCGTTACGCCCACAACGGGGCAGCAATGAAACGAAAACCAAAGAATCTTAACAATCAGGAGTGCAGTTCTCAGCACTCAACGCAATTATTACGGTGGGAGCATCATCCTCCCAGACATACAGACACAGACGTCTTACCAGAGAGCCACACAGACAAACAGCAGCAGCAGCGGCGCACGCACCCACGCAGGATTGGTGCTGCTGCTGTCCGTCATTCCAATGTCATATTTGCCTGCGGGCCCATCGCTTTTCTTAACAGTTAGCAACGCAGCAGTTGCCTTCTCTTCTGCTGGTGAACGCTCTTCAACACGATTGTTATGAGTGTCCGTGGCTGCATTGCTTGCTTCAGCCACAACCTCTGCTTCTCCTGCAGCATCAGACTTATCGACTGCGGGCGACGCATTCACTTCGGGCGACTTTGCAGCACTCTCTCCCATTAGGTGTGTCCCAGCAACAGCAGCAGCAGCCTCAGGCTTCTTAGCCGCACCGCTCTGTGTGGGAAGAGAAGCCGCTCTAGTCGTGGTGTGTGGCACAACAGAAGGAGAGATTCTGTTTTCCTTCTGAGTAGCAGCCCCAGTTTGTCGTTGTGAGCTCGAAGACACCTTCTCATTCCCCTCAACATCATCAGTGGATGATTTCAACTCTTTCTGTGCTTTTTTGAGCGCAGCATCAATAACTTCTTTGGCTTCCGTGGCCAAATCCTTTGCCTTGTCAGTGGAGTCCGATACTTCGTCTGCAAGTTTCTTCACATTTGCAGTAGCCTTTAGTGCAGCATCAATACTCTGCAAGGCATCTTTTGCACTCGTTGCTGCCGACTGGGCTTTCGTCTTTGCATCTGTAGCGTTTGCTTTTGCCCTCGCAGCAAGATCCTTTATCTCTGTGCTTACTGTTACCACTTCATTTTCGGCCTCAGCCGGCTTTAACTCCGTCTGCACCTCCATGGCGTTATCTTTTGCGTGCTTAGCACTCGCTGCCGCCGAACTCGCGCTTGCATTCGCGGTCTTGATGTCCCTCAGTGCCTGCGCAATCTTATTCACCGCCTCGGAAGCACTCGAAGCAACATCCGCTGCGTTCTTGTTTGCCTCCCCAGCTTTCTCTGCGACCGCGGAGAGTTTCTGCACGACGTCATTAGGTATTGCAATTGCCGCCTTTACTCTCTCTGCTGCACCCTTGGCGCTCTGCACTGCTGCCTCAGACAGTTCCTGTGCTTTGGTTGCCTTTGCCAGAGCTTCCTTCGCATCTCTCTCCACCACCCTGAGTAGCACCTCAGCACTCATTGCATTTCCCGCAGCCTTGTTGGCATTATCCGCCGCAGATTGCGCACTCGTGGAAGCAGTCAGGAGATTACACGCACTCAACGACGTTTTCGGAACGCTACCAGATGTCACATCAGGAAACTTTGAAATCTCTTCGAACGCTTTAACAGCATCACTCAATGCACTCGCTGTCTCGGCCACCATTTTATCGATGTGCGGCTTTGCCTTTTCGGCACTCCCCTCCACAGCCATAGATTCAGCAGCAGCGGCGTCATATTGAGCAGAAGCCTGCCCGGCTTCCTTCAACACTTGTTGCGTGTTCGTCGCAGCATCGGACAACACAGCCACACGCTCCTCCACCGCAGCCCTATCAACAGCAGCATCAGCCGTCACGCAGAATAAAACGCAGCACAGAGCAGCGGCCAACACACACACAACACGGCGCACTATCGCCATCATTCAATATCGCTTGAGCAGCTGGGGTCTGCAGGGACGAGAAAAGAGAAACGATGCACAGCAGGCAGCTCCAACACACACACACACGGAGCGGAAGGGAGCAGCAGGCACAACACACACACGAAAAAATGAAAAGAGAATCCCCCAGCAGGAGAAACAGTTAGTGGGCGGCGCATAGCAGTGCGCAAAGCAAAGCCCAAGCAATAAACGAAAAGAAAAGAAACCATGCCTCCCCTTCCCACAGTGCGTGTCGTCGAGGGCAAGTGGGTCGGCGCTACGCCCACAACATGGCAGCAATGAAATGAAAATCAAAAGAATCTTATCAATCAGGAGTGCAGTCCTCCACACTCAACGCGATTACCGTGGAAGAAGCACCATACTCTGCACACACAGACACAGAAAGACATGTCTTACCACATAGCCATACAGACCAGTAACAGCAGCATCAATGGCCTGCGCACCCACGCACGTTTGCTGTTGCCATCCGCATTGCTGGAAAGAAGCTCATTGACAGCCGCAGAGATGTTACTGTTGGGCTCAGGCATAGTAGCAGGCACAGACGAAGGGGCGGTGATCGTTTCCGTTTTGGAGTATTGTGCTGTAGGCTTTTCTTCAGTAACAGGTGGAGGTTTGGCCTCCTCGGTCAGGGAGGAATGCTCATGAGCGTCGCCCTTTGAATTTGCGGCATTCTCTTCAGGTTTCTGTGGGTAGTTGAGTCCTTCATTTCCCCTTACCTTCTTCAACTCCTTTTCCTCCATCTTCTCCCCTCCACTCTCAGTTTGATCGGGCTGCCGCACTTTGACCTGAAGTTCTCCCAGTTCCTTCTCAGCCTCCCTCAGCGCATTTTCGGCGGCTGATGTAGCCGACATACTTTTCAGCACCACACTTGCGGTGGGCTGCTGTTCCGCTTTCGTAGACGTCAGTGCGTCATCAACACTCTTTACTGCCGCAACAACATTGTTTGTAACATCGCTGAAGGCTAACGATTGCGACGTGGCATCATCTGTCGCCTTCGTGGTCTCTGTCTTCACTCCATTTAATATTTCATTCTTCCTTGGTAACAACTCTTCCTTAGCATCGCCCATTAAGGCTACAACTTCCTGCGCTGCTCTCTCGACTCCGGCAGCTGCAACATGAAGCCTAACCGCCGCATTGTGTGCCCTCCGCACCTCAATGAGGCAGCGGTCCACCGCCGTCTTTGCAGCCGTCACTGTGGCCTTTGCAGCCCCCACTGCATCCTTAACGTACTCATCCGCATCAGTGCAATTAGTCTCCGCCCAGCCGATGTGCTGCAGCGCCTCCGCTGCCTTTGTCTCTGCTATAACGCCGTCCTGAAGTTGACTCGCAGCCTTCACCATTATTACGTTCGCGCTACGCAAGACCTCCGTGATGCTTTCCTTTGCTTTCTTTGCATCACCCAGAACTTTGGGTTCTTGGGTGTCAGAAGGCTGTTGAAGATTCTTAACAGCCAGCGCAACATTTTTAACCTCCTCCTTTGTACGAAGAAATTTTGTAACCACACCCGCAGCAGCATCAGCGTTCACTTTCGCTTCCACCGCTAACGCCTTGGCCTTCATTGCTGCGTCCATCATATCATTCAGTGCAGCCTGAGCACCTCTGGCGGCCAACTCACCTCTCTTCGCTCTCCCCAGAGCAATCTCCTTCTCCTTCACGCCCGCCCCTTTCTCAGTCATCCTCCTCACCACACCTTCGTCTTTTGTGAGTGGCTGCACAGAGGGGGCATCATCAGAGTTCGCAGCCACGCACAAGGCCGTGCAGCACAGAGCAGCGGCCAACACACACACAACGCGGCGCACTGTCGCCATCATTCAATATCGCTTGAGCAGCTG